AATCACGTAACATGCACACAAAAAACACAGTCAAATTGAGAACCTCCTTTTTTTAAGTTGGTTAAAATTAAATATCAAGTTTGACTTGCGTTTGACTGTACATGGTGTTTTTGAAGTTTCCAAAGTACAAAAGGCCAGTACGTAGTAAGGCTCCCGATAAGTAATGTCTGTTTTGGTGGGCGACGCCGACCGACGTGAGTGACACCGAATGGTACAGTTTAGGATGGCATTGTTCCACATGTAACCATTTTGACCTATTATTTATTTATTTATAAATGCTAGACATGTATTGTCGTTACCAAAATATACACTAACAAGCATATGCTTCTTGAGGGGCATCGCAACGTGGAAGTTAGAGGGGCAGACATTAATTATAACCTATCCTGGAAATATTCGTCCACATCGTAATAACTCTTAGATTTTTTTTATAATACTAAGTGACGTGACGAACAAGACGTATGCCTGATGGTAAGCGATACGCCTGTCCCGAATAGTTGCAGTGCCACTCAGAGCTAAATAACAAAGATCTAATGGGCACTGCCACTGCGCCCGACACCCTGTGACACAAGTTGACAAGTCCCATGTGCTTGTAATTTCACCAGCACCCTGACCCTTCGAAACCGGGACGCAGTAATGTTCACATTACTGCAAGGCGACAGAAATAGGTAAGGTACTTCACTGGATGAACTATTTCTTATGGAGCTCTACTGCTACTTACAATTAGAAATAATTTGGTCAATGTTTTTATGAATTTATTTCATCATCTTATATATATTTTTGGTAGCAGTAGAGCTCCTTGTGAATGAGTGGGAAAAACTGCCACCTTATCTATTTCTGCCGCCAAGCACTGATGTGAGCATTACTGCGTTCCGGTGCTGGCGAAATTACAGGCACATGGGACTTGTCAATTTATGTCTCAGGGTGACAAGCCTCTGGGCTTTGTTTTGTGACTTAAAGTTCTGAGTGCCAATGCAACTGCTATGCACAGACGTGTCCGCTTGCACCAGTCACACGACTTGTGTGTCCCGTCACTTTTAAATACTTTTTCGAATGTAGGCACAACAACTCAAGAAAGTTTTATGGCAATCGGATGACTAATAATAGAACACATACATGACGAAACATTCGTTTTTTTTATTGGACGAACATATTACAAATTAGCTTGAGAACTAAAAGAACAAATTAAAATAAAAGCGATGTAACATAAACCTTTTTGGGTTTTTCCGGACATCAACTTATCGTTTCGTAACTGTTAAATAAAACACTAATTGCTATACTGTTAGGAGTTATTTTTTTAATCATAATTGTGACTCTTAAAATTCAAAGCTGCGATTGAGTAATGAATTCGTCCCCACAGTGGTGTGCGTTCGTATATGCATGAGCTACTTAACTAAGAAGCTACTGGATTCAACAAAAGAACGAATTCCTGGGCGTGTGTTAGTGCCCAGGAATTCGTTCGTATATGAATAAGTATGTATAGATAATCACTATGTAAGAAATTTTCAAAAAAGTTCTGTTACTGGGGGTCAACTCCCGGAGTTTCATTCGTCCGAAACAATTACTGCGAAGAAGTAATACTCGAAGTGAACACTCAGAAAAAATTCCTTCGATCCGGCCGGATTCGAACCGACGTTCTTCTAGCAAACCGTACCGTACGCTATGCCAACTAAGCTACAGAAACTCACGAATTTTTCTATATGCTTGTTGTCGGATCTTTGCATGTATTGTATTACGGCTTTTTAGCCGTAGCGCCATCTATGAGAAATCTTTAAAAAATTCTGAGTGTTCGATCTTTGTATTAATAATTAACAAACTAGTGGAGTAATTACACAAAAAATAATTGAGTATCATGGTAGTGAAACTTCCTGACATTGAGCACTTAAGTAATACTCGATCAAATTAAGACAATATATTATCAAGTATAGTATAAGTATTAATTATTTTAACAGCAATTATTTCGGACGGAGGAAGGGAGTAGACCTCCTGATTTGACAACATTGGTTTCTGTTCTATTGAGCAGCATGTATGTAGAAAACAGGCATCTATCCTCTACCCCTGAAACTTACTTTTGTGGCTGTCACACACCACTAAATACCACTTATTGACTTAGCTTCTTATTTACATTGCATAGTGGTACGTAACGTAACGGTTACGTAATTATTTTTTATCAATTTGTAGAATTTTCTTTGGAACATGTTATTGATTTGAAATATAATATTCCCTTTTTGTCTTTAAATAAAGACGAACCTGAAATTTTGTTCGTTTCTTAATGGTACACAAATTTCAACTTTTCCTTGTCCTGACCGCAAACGCGAAGTGTTTACAGGGAAATAGAGTTTTATTTATTTATTTATTATTATATTAGGCACATCAACATCATATGTGTTTGACAATCAACAAAAATTAGACATGAGGCTAGAATTGATACATGTCACAATTACAGACGTACACATAATTTACATACAATACTATATTCTATAATACTACTAGTGTTAATTTTATTATTATTTAAAATGTGAAGTTAGCTTTAAAGGATCAAATAGAAAATCATATTGATTACCCAGAATAAAAAATCGTGTTACATGGTGTTATCAATGTCACAATATTCCAATTCAAAATACAATGTCAAAGAGTAGTGGTAGGAAAATTATTCATCCTTCAGGACAGGCTAAGGCGTCTAAGCCATACTGCCAGCTCTTAACAATATCAAAAATAAGAAAAATAAATTTTGTTGAAATGTTTTGTTTGTTTGGGATTGTTTTGAAAAAACAAATATACGCGTTTTAAATCCGGAGAAATAGTTTCATTTCCTATGTCTAACAATCGCGAAAACCTAAAAACTCGATAACAATAAAATTGTTAGTTTAAAAAAAAATCGTTCAAGAAAAAAACGCATTCGATACAAAACTGCGTCAAAATATAAAGATGTTCAATAAAAATACACATTACATTTTTTGGAAAGAAATTGCGATGTAGACACCATGGTATTCATTGCCCAACAAATGGAGTCTGATATCGAGGTTCCTAAACAAACCTACCTCAAAAGTTTGTGGATTTACCTACGTCTATTTGCCACGTTTTATTGAAATCAGTTAACGGAAAGTGAGTGCAATCCAACAAACCGGATTCATCCCCTAATTTGCTACCCAAAGAGGAGAGGGAATATTTTCTTCAAATTTTAGTGGGACCACTAGTGAAGTACTCCCATTCCAATAAACAAGAGAATCATCGAAATCAGTTCACGAATGTCAGAATAATACGTAACATACACACAAAAAAAATACAGTATAATTGAGAACCTCTCTATTATCTCCATTGTCTCTATTGTCACAGCTTCTGTAGTATTTAACCACATTAACAAATTATATTTGCCTGTGGTATTATTTTACTACGTCTACGTTTAAAACAAACAATGATAAGTGTAATTACATACATACGTATGTACGCAAGTTGCACGTATAGGTACCAAAATACTACAATATAACACATAATTGAAATATTAGACGTAATAAACGTATTGATGAATAATTAGTGGGAAATCCATGTTGAAGTCCGATTTTACCACGAAACACATTTGTCAATCACTTGCTACTCACTTATCTAAGTCATATTTAAGTACAGAGTCTCGTTTTCTACTGATTGCATAACACACATCACCGTTATACTGAGAAAAAACAATCTTTCACAAAAAAAAATACTTGTAAGAAATGGGTAAATTTTCAAATTAGTTTTCTTTACCTAATTTCGGTGGCAATTTTTATTATTTAAATATTCTAGAATATTATCATGAAGTATTTTTTAATATACGAGTATGGTATTCTGAAATATTATTTAGTATTTCACGTTAATATACTCGAATACATAAGTATAAAAATTGCCCGAAACTAGGTAGAGAAAGAGAACAACACTAAAATGAAATTACCCAAATACAATATGAATTTCAACAATGAATATTTCTTACATATACATGAATACCATCGCCAACAAATAATGATTCAACATTTTCTGTTTTACCGAAAGTATGTAAATATTTGAAGGCGAAAAATTATGCGTGTCAATTTGTGCGTAAACATTCCAGGTAATTGGTTTTCGTTGTATAACAACGATTTACATGCGACCAATTACCGTGTCTCTCTATATTCCGCCAGTGGACATAGGATTTTTTTTGATACATTGCAAACTATTCAAGTACAAAAGATGATGAAGTTAAAATAATTCGCTATTTTCTATGTTTCACTTTCAATCAGGTTTCACAGAATATATTACATTCACGCACTCTTTTGCAGCAAAATGTTGTTAAAATAAAATTAACTTTAATGTAATAAGTAAATAAATATATCGAGGACTTTCTAGATAACAACCAACTCAAAAATACCCAATTCAGTAGGATGTTGCTTTAAAAACCTGACTTTGCACATTATGAATACCACTGCTAAAGAAAAAAAAATATTTTGAGCTCGTGTTCTTATAAATTATAAATATAAACTGCATAAACATAAATGTTGTGGCCCAAACCTAGATTTATTTCAACGTTTTATCATACTTGAACCCATACAGTGTATTCACTAATTATAATTAACAACAAAATGACTAATCAGCATTTTAACTTTTATTTACAAAGAAAGCACTTACAGTGCAATTGTTTTCTCTCAACACATACAATTGCGTCATCAATGAACCAAAACGTGGTATATCTCATTAATCTTTCAATTCCTGTTTCACTATTGTTTTGAACTGTTCAATTATCAGCAATGCTAGGCCGTCACATGTTATCCGAGTGGCTCATCATTAAATTTACATCAATATAGTAATCGGTCAGTTCGCCAGTGCAACACTGAACGTCCAACGCGCATCACGCGCGTCGCAGTCACGCGTGAACAAATATAACTTTAAAAAAATAAATACAAATTTTGCTTGTCTCATTGCTGCATAAATCGTAATTTTTTTTGAAAAGTGTTTTTAAAAATATAGTGTTCTGTGTTCGAAAGTTTTTATTTTTTTTGAAAGAAGTAACAATGATGGCCGATGGTGATATTCCTTTAGTAAAGAGTTTTACTAGCACGGAGATGGAATTCACAAGCAATGGAAAAGTTAATAAAACAAATTCAAGGTAATTTTTTTTAATCTACAGCCGTTAAGTGCAGTCTATTGTACGGCTTTTGTTGTTTAAACAAATAGGGCGATGTTATTTTTAAACAGCTGACTTGTCCGACTGCCAGTACACTGTTTATATTTGATTTTTGATGGCTGCCATGTTTTGATCCCTTGCCACGTTGCGGAGTTAAGAATTAATCTGACGCCATGAACTTTGGTGTCCAAAAGAAAATATTCAAAGGTAGTTTCTTTGTATTTGATATCGTCTCTCTCCTCGACCATCTTTCGTGAGTCATTATTGTTGTAACACGTACGATTTTATACAATTTTGAAAAGAGAATGTTCCCAATCAATTGTCGTCCAACGACTTCAATGTATAGATAAGAACATTCACAGAAACTACATGTTTCAAACAAAAGACTATCAATAGTCATAGTGTTTTGTTTTAATGTTGAATTATGTCAAAGAGTAATTCAGTACCGCAGTACCCTGGACAGACGTGACAGTCTATATCTATTGGGAATGAGCTAGCCAGGCAGATAATATGCAGTGTTTACCAATAATATTTATTCGTAGTTGAGGAATTAACGTAAAGCCCCTGGGAAAGCCGCTATTAGTTGAACAATAAATCTCATTTTGCTTTAACCCAGGGGCCTTCCGCTTAGTATTTATAATTATTGAATTACTACTAAGAAGAAAAACAAATTAAATAAATAATAAATAAAAGAAAAAAGTACAGTCGACTTGTTTAAATGATTGATGTTATGTTATGTACTTTTCCTTGCGGAAAGGCTAACCTTTAGACCATGCAGACTTGTCATTTTTATATTTTTTTTAATTTATACATGGTAACCATCAAAACGGAAGAGTTCTGTATTCGATTATATTTTTTTGTATATATGTCACGCGTTTATTCCGGCATTTGTGAACCGATTTTGATGATTATTTTTTTGTTAGAAAGAGGGTACCTCAGTATTGGGCCCATTCAAAGTTGAACAAAATATTCTACCTCTAAAGGTGGTAAACAAGGGGATGAAGCCGGCTTCGCACACTTTCCTTTACTCCTCAAATCTTTGCAATTTAATAGTCGACACTACGTTAGCTCGAATTCAATTCTTTCCCGTAACGAATCGGTTCTATTGCGGGTAAAGCGACAGTGCTTTGTTTCAGAATTTCTTTTTTTACAAATAATATTAAAGCCGTTTGAAAAGTGTATATCGTATACTGTATACGTGTTCTAATTAGCTTACAGTTGATATAAAAAAATCATTGGTATATGTAAAGTATCTATTAGTATACTAATCAGTGTTTATCCTCAATTTTGTTATATATTTTTGCCAAAGTGATTGATTCCACACTTTCACTGTTATGCGTAATCAATCAGCCATTTGAGATTGTATCGACTCGTAGTATATGATATTGAAGTGTTGTGTCGGAACCGCACATCAGTGAAACGCAGTGTGTGAAAAAAAGGTTGAAGTCTGTGCATCTGTGTGTCGTTCTATGGCATTGAAGCTGTTAAACGGATGGACTGATCTGGAAGCGGTTTTTAACCGATTTCAAAAGGAAAGGAGGCGGTTCTCAATGCAAATGAATTTTTTTGTATTTATGTTACTCGACAACTCCGATTTGTGAAACGTTTTTGTTGATTCTTTTTTTTTTTGTTGGTTAGAGGTTGCCTCAGTATTGGTCCCATTTAAATTTAAAGGAAATATTCCAAAATCGCTTATGTTGAATAATTATGTACGAAAACTGTGTATAGGTTTACGCACATTATTTTGTTTTGTTAATTAATTAAGTAAATTTAAAAGTGATATTAATAAATACGTCAAATAATTAAATTGGTTAATTAATTTAAAACGTGTATCGCGTTTGCATTGCTGCTAAAGGTCGTCGTGCCGCGTGTAACAATTCTAAATACTATGGAATTTCAATCATATTTGTGTGGAATCTAGAGCAATGTCGTCTTTTCATACATCTATATGTCTAACACGTGGTCTTCAATTTTGTTATATGACTTTTCAATTAAAATATTTTTAATATATATAGGTTATTTTTAATATATAGGCTTTGAATCCGGTTTCGCGCACTTTAACCGGTAACCGATTGTTAACTTTTTAATGTAATATAATGATGTCTCCATTGACTTACAATTATATGGACGTCGCGTCCGCGCTAAAAAGTGTCCGCACTTGTAAGGCGCTAAAATCGTATACAGAGCGCCAAACTCTGCTTTAGTCTTCATTTGTTCTACTGACAGCGATACTGCGATGACATTACAATTTAAATTTCGAATAGGTTGACTTGGGACATTTTTTTCGTGGGTTTTGTATTAGATCCGTCGTCCATTTATTCGTAAGTCAATGGATGTCTCATAAAATACTTCACTACGGCTTGTTTACATTTAGTTAATTGCCTAAACCTTTGTAGTATATGTCAGATATATGTCAGATAATTGTCAATGAAATAAATATCTTGGTAATTTCGAACTCTGGTTAAAGTATAAACGGTTCGCTCTTAAGTATCAAGTCGATTTAAACATTAACCGCAAAATGGAAAAGGCGAAAAGTAATTGTAACTTTCGAAAATGAAACAAAATACTGCCTAATGTAATTTGGGGCAGTTAACTGCAACTAACGTATAATGATTACATTTGAGTCTTATATAACTTCTGTGAGCGGTGGGTGCTCAGTGGAAGAAGTGCTGCTTTTCCATTGAGAGGTGTACTGTTCGGATCCCTGCGGCAACATGTACTTTTTAATTTACATTCTAAAACATAAAACTTCGGCATATAAAGGCAGTTTTAAACATTTGGCACAACATACAAGTGCGTTCTTCACAATCCATTTATACTTTTAAAAATAAATTCAAAGAGCACGTGCTACAAAATACGCCTGGAGCAATTTTATTTGGGTATGTAACGCACCTAGAAACTCAAAATGAATGAAGACAGGCTGATTTCTGAGGGGCATTGCCACTGCGCCTGTCACCCTGAGACATAAGTTGTGAAGTCCCATGTGCCTGTAATTTCACCACTTTAATTTGTTGAATCGGCCATTTCAAAAAGGATCCACTAAAAAGTTGTGGCTCCGGCAACTCAGTATTTGTTGATTTGGGCCCTTTTCAGTGCAACACACTTTTAGTCACAAATCTAAATTTATTCATATCGAGTTCTTAGGTTTTCGCGATTATTACACATAGGAAATGAAACTATTTTTCCGGATTTAAATCGCGTATAATTGTTTTTTTTTTCAAACAACCCAACGTTTCGTGCACTTTACAGGTCCCATGGTCACGGTAGACTGAGGTGGTACAGTCATCAACCAGTAATGTCTAATATTAACGCAAACCACCCAATTTTTTCTCTACACTTACAAAAGTTATTAATTAAATACCCTATTTTTAATTTTACAAAGAAACATTCCAATTTACGCACCATTCCGTTTTATAATTATTTTATTGAATGTATTTTTATTAAGGAAAATTGATTGTTAATAAAAGAAATTAGAATAAACTAAAATATCGACTCATCCGAAGAACAGAGTCCGATGTGATTATATAGCGAAAAGAAAATAAGCACCTTACACGAATAATTTCGTTATTCAAACTAAAACCCGTAAAGGTGTTTTGAGAATTTATACATCTTATTTCGTTACGGAAATATAAAATCGAACAACGGTCGATCTGACATTCACAGCGAAGAAGAACGAACGAAATGTACCATGTCCTAAGAACAAGTAGTCTTGCACATAGATCTATGTTCTACGGATGAGTCGACATAGTAATTAGTACTGCAGTTACAAATCTATGAGATTTAAATCCGGAAAAATAATTTCATTTCCTATGTAACAATCGCGAAAACCTAAGAACGTTATGAAGCCCTGTAGTTATTAAATTTACATTTATCCCAAAATTTGTAATTGCCCAACGGTTTAACGACACACCGCACTGCACACTGCCCCGTCAGTCGCCATCAGTGTCTTTGCGCTTGCTTTACTAATCAAAGGGTCTACTGCCGGTCTCCGTCCGACCTCAAATTACTGTCTAATGAGTAATGTTTGACCAAATCAAGGCACAATGTCAAGTATGATTAATGTGAGAACTTTCTAATTACCGTATCCATGGCTACGGTAATTAGATCTAATTATCGTTTCCATTAAGTATTTGTGTCGTAATAACTCGAAAACTACTTTGTCTATTGTAATGCCATTTAGACATATTGATAGTTCATATTTAAATTGTTATTGGGTATAATAAGCGAGAAAAAACAATGGCTGAGGACACCGAATGCGAGAATGGCAGATTACCTAGATTTAGATTTTGTTATTTAACATCCGGACTTTCTTACAAATGTCAGGCTTTTTGTCTGGACTATTCAAATTTCTTAATAGTGCTATTATGACATATGACCTAAACCCTCTCCTTGAACCAAAACCCGTGTCCAGTAGTTGAACGTATAAAACATAGGCAAAAATGATGTTGAAGTAGAAATATTTGCAACGCATGGCTTCTTCGAATTCTGTGCATTATTTTAGTGTCAGCTAATAGTGAAACCAGAAGCTATAATAAAAGTAACTAATAAACTTGTGGCGTTTCAAAAGTAGTTAGTTCTTTTTTATAATATCAAGTGACGAGACGATCAAGTTATGCGCCTGGTGGTAAGCGACACGCCTCTCCGTAACAGTTGCGGTGCCACTCAGAGCTTTAAATCGCAAACATCCTAGGGTAATGCTACTGCGCACGTCACCCTGAGACATACGTTGACCTACCCTTCTAAACCGGAACGCAGTAATGCTCACATTACTGCTTAGCAGAAATAGGTAAATTGGCAGTGGCGTTGCTTCCCTGGACGAACTCTTTCACAACGAGCTAGTGCTACTGAAGTCATTTTTTTTCAAGTAAATTGACATGCGATCTACTTCAATTGCATTTTTGAAGTGGTGCTTCCGGATATTATCTAAAAACAAGATATTTTTGTGCAATTGGTAATGTTGAGTTCTTCTTTTACTTTTTTAT